TTTTTTTTTTTTTTTTTTTTTTTTTTTTTTTTTTTTTTTTTTGCATACTTCGTCAGCACAAAAGCACAAAAGCACAAAAGCACAAAAGCACAAAAGCACAAAAGCACAATACTTCTTTTGCCTTGCACAGAAGCAAAGCAAAGAAGTACAGCAAATAAGTATGCAAAGAAGTATGTTACACAAGCAAGCACCCAGCCAGCACCAAAAAAAAAAACAACAACAAAGCAACAAAAAACCAAAAAAAGTCTTCTAAGAGAAGACACCTTGACCCAGAAGACTTTTTTTTGGTAGCACAAAAGCACAAAAGCACAAAAGCACAAAAGCACAAAAGCACAAAAGCACAATACTTCTTTTGCCTTGCACAGAAGCAAAGCAAAGAAGTACAGCAAATAAGTATGCAAAGAAGTATGTTACACAAGCAAGCACCCAGCCAGCACCAAAAAAAAAACAACAACAAAGCAACAAAAAACCAAAAAAAGTCTTCTAAGAGAAGACACCTTGACCCAGAAGACTTTTTTTTGGCCTACTTCTTCTGTGCCTTGCAAACCACTTCTGCTTCTGTGCTTAAAAAAAAACAACAACAAAGCAACAAAAAACCAAAAAAAGTCTTCTAAGAGAAGACACCTTGACCCAGAAGACTTTTTTTTGGCCTACTTCTTCTGTGCCTTGCAAACCACTTCTGCTTCTGTGCTTATTTCATCTGGCTTGTGCTGGGGAGCCTCCCCCCCAGTAAGGAGGCAAAAAAAAGGTATAACCCTGGTTAGTTCAATGTTATAACAGCGTGTTAGTTCAATGGTAGAACATGGTGTTTTCTTGCATACCATACTTCTTGCTCCTGGCTGGGATGTCTCGCTTTATTTCGGTACTGGGATGTCATACTTATGGTGGTGTTGGTTGTGCAGATGGTATAAATGGTGATCATATAATGATAAGTCCTGCTTACAATATTACTAAAAGCGATGCATTGTATAACAGCGTGTTAGTTCAATGGTAGAACATGGTGTTTTCTTGCATACCATACTTCTTGCTCCTGGCTGGGATGTCTCGCTTTATTTCGGTACTGGGATGTTCTGTTTCTCGTGCGACAAACACCCCTCTACGTAGTCTTTGCGGAGGAAGACTTCTGGGAGGTGTCTTCTTATAACAGCGTGTTAGTTCAATGGTAGAACATGGTGTTTTCTTGCATACCATACTTCTTGCTCCTGGCTGGGATGTCTCGCTTTATTTCGGTACTGGGATGGGGTGGGATGTCTTCCTATATTAAGACATCCCACCCCATCCCAGCCCATGCTTTACTGGGATGTTCTGTTTCTCGTGCGACAAACACCCCTCTACGTAGTCTTTGCGGAGGAAGACTTCTGGGAGGTGTCTTCCTAGATTAAGACACCTCCCAGAAGTATGCAAAGAAGTATGACATGGAGGTCTTCCTAGATTAAGACACTCCCCAGTAGTATGTATGCATCCCAGCCAGAAGACATCCCAGAAGTATGACATCTCAGCCCAGTAAGTAAAGCACCATAAATGTTACAGGTTCGAATCTTGTACACGTGTCTTAGCATAAACTTGACTATGGTATAACCTCGTAAATGTATTTAGCAAACCTAGTCATTATATACTTTTTTTTATTAATGCTATGGCTCCTCCTCCTCCTCCTCCTCCTCCTCCTCCTCCTTCTGTGGCTCCATGCATGAAACAAAAATAAGCCAAGGAGCGGGAGCCAGCCAGAGCATTATTTTATCTATATCTTTTAAATAAGCACTTCTTGTTATATTAGATAAGCGATAATAGAAATAGTGAGGTATTTTTTTTTTATTATATTGTGCTTATATGGACAATCTTATTCAACGAATTGAAATGTTAACAAACGGTTATAAAGTCGGAATTTTATTTATTTTTACATTAGTGGCAATATTATCTGGATTATACGTTATTATCTGTAAAAATCCCGTGGTTTCTGTGTTATGGCTAATTGGTTTGTTTTCAGTTATAGCTATTTACCTTATTTTATTAGGTATAGGTTACATAGGTCTTTCTTATTTATTGGTATATGTGGGAGCCGTTTCTATATTATTCCTTTTTATTCTAATGTTGATAGATGTTAGAATAAGTGAATTATCCAGTAATACTAGTAATAGTATAGCTTTGGCAATATTTATACTCTCTTCAATTAGTTTTACTTTATTTAATATAACTTCTATTTATTATACCTATGATTGAAGAAGCAACCCATTTAAAAATAATATGGCTATTGTGCTAAATATCGAAAATGAATTTATATACTATGTTTCTAGTAAATATTGAGATGGAAATTTAATATATAAAAGTCATACTGCATGAATAGGTACTATATTTTATAGTGCGTATGCTATATTATTGATATTAATATCTATAATATTATTACTAGCTATGGTGGGTACTATTGTAATTACAAATAAACCCCATAATAATGATTCTTTAAGTTCTTCAAGTAGTACTGCTAGCCTGGCTTTCCACGAGGACCAGTTATGTGAGCTTGGCCTAAGCCAAGCCCATTTAACTGGTAATAGTTTAGTTATTCATAAACCCCAAATAGTAGCTTTAACAGTATCTAAAGTAAGGGTTAGATCTATATCAACTATATCTAATTTAAGGCAATATGATGTAAATCATAATAGTTTAGTTATTCATAAACCCCAAATAGTAGCTTTAACAGTATCTAAAGTAAGGGTTAGATCTATATCAACTATATCTAATTTAAGGCAATATGATGTAAATCATAATAGCTTAGTTATTCATAAATCCCAAAAAGTAGCTTTAACTACTTCTACAGTATCTTTTCTAGGCGTTAGATTTTTATCAACTAAACTTAATTTAAGGCAATATACTAGCCTTAAAATTTATAATCAAAGCACTACTTTAACCAGAGTTATAGATAAAAATTATCCCATTATATCCAGAGCCGACCGCAGGAGGGAACTACCTATTTTTAGAAGATGGGCGTGTTATTTTTGATGCCTCTGGGGGTGCATCCGTATCTTGTTTTGGATATGCTCACCCAGAATTAAATCAAGCGTTAATTACTCAAATAATAACCGGGGTTAATTATACTTGTGGGGACAGTTATGTTAACGCTTCTACTTTGGCATTAAACGAAGCCTTAGTGGCTAGCACTAATGGTTTAATGGTAAAAGTTTACTTATCTGGCTCTGGTACAGAAAGCAATGAAATAGGGCTTAAATTAGCTGTTCAATACTTTTTTAATATAGGTGAAGTTAAACGGGTTAATATTATTAGTAGGGATACTTCGTACCACGGTAATAGTGCCGGAGCTTTGACTGTCTCTGGACATATAGCCAGAAAAGAACCCTTTAAACCTATTTTAGGTACTTATTCTCATACAATATCCTCTTGTAATCCTTATAGACAACGTTTAGATGGTGAAACGGACGCTCAATTTGTAGCTAGAAAAACTGCCGAATTAGAGGCTAAATTTCAAGAATTAGGGCCAGATACTGTAATAGCATTTATAATGGAAACCGTATCTGGTTCTTCTTTAGGTTGTGTTGGACCGGTTCCGGGCTATCTTGAGGGTATGAGAGCGGTTTGCCATAAACACGGCGCTTTGTTTATTTTGGATGAAGTGATGTGCGGCATGGGGCGATGTGGTACTTATATTCATGCTTGACAGCATGAAGGAATTAGCCCCGATATTCAAACGGTAGCCAAAGGCTTAGGTGGAGGTCATGTACCGCATGTTTCACCAGCAGAGGGGCTACTTTAATTAATGACAAAGTTTTACAAGGTTTATCTATAAGCAATAAATTGCATCAAGGTCAAACTTTTCACTCACAGGGTACTTCGGCAGCGGTAGCACTAGTAGTCGTTAATAAATTATTAGATAAAGAAGCAGAAATATTATTAGACATTAGAGATAACGGAAATATCTTACTAGCAGAGTTAAAAAAACGTTTGATTAACCATCCAAATGTGGGAGATATAAGAGGTACAGGTCAATTTATTGCTGTAGAGTTTGTTAAGGACAAGCAGCTTAAATCGCCTTTTCCTTCTAACTTAAATGTAAGTCCTAAATTAAGAAACTTTATTCATGATGAATATAAAATGCATACTTATGGTGGTGTTGGTTGTGCAGATGGTATAAATGGTGATCATATAATGATAAGTCCTGCTTACAATATTACTAAAAGCGATGCATTGTATATAGCCCACACAATATCTAATGCTATTACAGATTTTTTTCCTTTAAAGTCTGAAAATACGGAAATTCAAAATAAAAATTTTGAATATATGCAAAAGTTTAATATGGGTTGTTTCAAAGATTGATAGTTAGTCTAATTACAGGATTACTTTTCTATAATATGTAACATTAAAATGCTTAGTATAAGAAAAACCTTAATAATTCTAGGTTAAATTAATGCGAGATATATGTTTATAATAATAAAATTGTGAGCCAGCCAGTAGCCCATGCTCATGCTCATGCTCATGCTCTGCATACTTCGTTAGCAAAAAAGGTCGCATACTCTGCTTACTTCGTTAGCAAAGTATGCGACCATTGCTTCTGTGCAAGGCAAAAGGAGGGCTCTCTCCTTTTGCCTTGCACAGAAGCAATGGTCACTTCTGCAAAGCAAAGCTCAAAAAAGAAAGCAAAGAAGTATGCATACAAGTGGATATAATGGAATATAGTTGTTATTTTAATATTAATAAATTATTAATTATTACCATAGAAATCTCTCGTCCTAATATAGTGAAATATCACTACTAAAGTATAAAAAAATAATGATGACCTCATACTTCGCTTACTGGGGAGGGTGAAACGTTTATTCATCCTACTCTTACTAATTTGTTTTTTATAGAATTAATAACGAATTCTGGTTTAGACAGATGAGATCCTATGGTATAAATAGAAATAAGGTTAATAGCTTTTAATGTAGTCAATTGTGTGTGTAACGTAACGTTTTTAAATTGGTCAAATTAATACGTTACTTAGACAAAATTTCTTCACTAGGTTTTTAAGGGTATACCTAAATATAGGTATAATATACTAGGGATATTATATATCTCCTGTAATATTTATACTTATTATTTTGAAGGAATTTCTCACAATTTCTTAACATTATTAAGTATCGGTGTAAGGGTTGGCTTTTCTAAACTAAGCGTTATCCATACAAATTTTAGATGAAAAACGATAAAAAAAATACAATAAATTAAACATGAGAATATTTAAAAGTCATCCATTATTAAAATTGGTTAATTCATATATAATCGACTCACCACAACCCGCTAACTTAAGTTATTTATGGAACTTCGGTTCTTTATTAGCGGTTTGTTTAATAATACAAATAGTTACAGGTGTAACTTTAGCTATGCATTATAATCCGAGTGTTTTAGAAGCCTTTAACTCCGTAGAGCATATTATGCGTGATGTGAACTTTGGTTGATTAATACGTTACTTACACAGTAATACTGCATCAGCCTTTTTTTTCTTAGTATACCTACACATAGGTAGAGGTTTATATTATGGATCTTATAGAGCTCCTAGAACATTAGTTTGAACTTTAGGTACTGTAATTTTCATACTTATGATCGTAACCGCATTCCTGGGTTTTTTAAATATAGCCCAAAATGATTTTAATTTACTACAACAACCACAACCACAACAAAAACAAAAACAACCTACAACTATAGGTAAAAGACATTATTCTACTTCTTATAATGCTTTTTCTTTTGTTAGCAAAAGAAATCAGCAATCCGCATTATCAGGTAAAAGATATTATTCTACCCATAGAGACTGTACTATGACTTCTAAAATAGTAAAAGACTTTATTTTAGAAAAAAACATTAACCCTGTGTATATTTACGAAGATTTAAAAAGTATTTCTACACATAAAAAAATATTAGAAGATACTAGGGGTCTTAGTGGTATTTATTTAATTTTAAATAAAGTTACTATGGATTATTATATAGGATCAGCTTCTACTAACAGAATAAATAAAAGATTTGCTAATCATTTGATTCATTTAACAGGTAGTAAAGTTTTAAAAAATGCAGTAAGAAAATATAAATTATCTGAATTTGCTTTTTTAGTTTTAGAAATATACCCTGAAGTAGTTACTCCAGAAAATAATCGTAAGTTATTAGATTTAGAAGATTTTTACTTAAAATCTTTATTACCCAATTATAATATATTGACTGAAGCTGGTTCTAGTTTTGGCTATAAACATAGTGAATTAACCAGAATAAAAATGAAAACTGAATACAGTGAAGCTCGTAGAGATAGAATTGGTAACTTAAACAGAAATAAAAAACTTTCAGCTAAAACTATAGAATTAATTAGAGATAAAGCTTTAAACCGTCCGGGCAAAGCATAGCGGTTTATTCTGAGGAAGCCATAGCAAACATGAAAAAAGCATCTCTTCTGGGTTGTCATACTTCTGCATGTTTCGGACGAAGTACAGCTGAAAGAAGACACCACCCAGAAGACCTATAATAGTTTATAATTTAGATGGTACCATATACGGTGAATATCCTAGTGTTATAGAAACAGCTAGAAATTTAAATTGTTCTGTCAAGACAATCTCTAGATCCTTAAAAAGTACAAATAAGTTGCTAAAAAAGCGTTGAATTGTTAATTTTGTTTAGTTGGTATTGATTATATAATAATGTTGTTTATATAACTAAAATGGTTTGTTTTGTTAATTAAAATTATAGTCCTGTGAGTATAAATTTCATGTAATCTATAAAGAAAAATGATATATTAAAGCAGAATAACCCGACAGGGATATTGAAGAATATTATATATTCTTTGGCAATATTAGTGGTACGATCAAAAAACATCAAAATAATTCAATCTGTAATAGGTAAACTTACAGATAAATGTTTATTTTATGATTAGAGATCGTCGGTTATTTATATGACCGCGACAGACTGGGTCACTGATGGGTGTCTGCAATGATGCTTAATGCACAGTCGAAACTTTTAGCACAAGCTAATGTGATATACGAAGATAAAAGTTATCACAGCTTATATATATAACCTAATAAATTAATATAAGTAAGTCTGTATGTTTTACCATTTGGTCAAATGAGTTTATGAGGCGCCACTGTTAAGTAAGTAATAGCAGTTGTAAAATATCACTATATGCTGGAAACTTCTAAAGCTTTAAGTACTATAAATAGTTATATCTTCTTTTTTGGCAGAGCCACAGGAGCATGACATGTTTTTATAGTGACAACCTTAAAGATATTATGGACAATCAGCAGGAAACCTTTATAAGGGATCCTCAGAGACTATACGTGATATATTCCTATATTAGTCCCCCCTAGGTTATCTCTTCTTTATGAAGTATGAGATATGGGGGGGGGGGGACTTACGTTACGGGTTGTGTAATATATAGGAATAAAGATATAGTCCGAACCATTAAAAGAAATTTAATGAAACCTTTATAACCAAGAGAAAAATTTTCTGAATACCACAAACTTAGTCAAACTACATTTTTTTTATAACCTAATAGGTTATAGGGGACATAGTGCTTTACGAAGTATGCATGCCTTATTTCGGACGAAGTACAGCAAGAAAAATTCTTTTTAATACTTTTAGTCAAGTTTTTAGAGGACTATTAAAAAATTACTGTGTATATTATACAAGGATTTAAAGTTCCTTAAGTTAAAATTAATGTTATATACTAAAGTACTCCAGGTTCTTGCTCCTTTGCTCCTTTGCTCCTTCGGTCGCGAAGCAGCCAAAGCAAAAGGAGGGGAGGCATGTCATACTTCTGCATGTTTCGGACGAAGTACAGCTGAAAGAAGACACACCCCTCTGCTGTACTTCGTCCGAAACAAGCAGTAGCCTTATTTCATCAGACGCTTGCTATGTAATAAGAAGCAGACGGTTCTTTTTATTTAAATTTTTCTCTTGGTTATCTGCTTCTGGGGCTGGGGGG